CCCTCCTGTCCCCGCTGCCCTCCGCCTGCCGCCGGGGATCCCCCAGCGCCGGCAGACCCAGCGGAGCTGGCAGTCGGAGAGGGCAACTGCAGAGGTGCCCAGAGGTGCTGCCAGCCCCTGCCAGGGCACGAGGGAACATCTGTCCCTCGTTTGCAAGCGGAGGCATAAATGCTAAATTACATAAGATGACAAGGAATACCCGCAGCACATAATAGTATGTCGCTGAGAGAGAATGTGCCTGCTGAAGCTTAGCTGCATGAACATACTATTTCCAGGCTGAAATAATATGTAATTTCTTTAGAGACTCCTGATGAAATCCAGTGGGGGGGAAGGAACAGACAATAAGTAATCAACCAGTGGAAGCTCTTTAGCTGAATTTCTTTCCTGAAGTGTCCCTCTTGGACTGGATATCTGAGGAGATAGCTCTGTATTTCTATTGGTCCTCTGGGGAGATGTCTGAGGAAAAAGAGTTTGCAAAAGTTTTTACAAACTTTTCCTTCCTTCCGTCAACATAGTTACAGTCAGACCTTTGCACAGAGAGAAACAAAAGAGTCACAATGGAGGGAAAGGATGTTCCAGGAGGGGCAGAGGGACAGTGGCCAGAGCTAGGGCAGGCACATGCAGTGCCCCGCACTCTGGGACAAAATCTGAAGCATCCAGCACTGTGTGTGGCAAGCAAGGTCAATGGTTTCAAAGAAATAGCTGGGCTTTCTAGTTAGAACATCATTATTTTCAAGCATGATTTAGGAATATTTTGTGATCTGAGCAGGCAGGTCAAAAAAAAAATGAGCAGCATCACAGGTAGCAAAATTTATTCTTTTTTCTTCTACAGTAGGAGTGTGTTTCTATAAGATGCTGAACGTCTCATGAGAGCGTCTATGTTCAGTCTGCTCTCACGAATGTAGTTTTGTGGGGCATTCTTGGCAGGTGATGTAGAGATACACTGCACTATTATTCTTTTCTGAACTCCTTTTCCATGTGCATTGCAATTTCCATTTTATGGACTTGTGACCTCTTTGAAAAGTGATGACTAGAGCTGGCTAGGAATTTTCTGAGGAAATTTTTTTTTTTTTTTTAGCAGAAAGTGCTGACCCATCAAAACTTTTCACAGAAATAATTCTTTTTGAACAGAAAATTTATTTGACATGGTTCCCCCAAATCCAATGAAAGAGAGATTTCCAGCAAGAGGTGTTTACAGAAGCTTAGGGTAAGGGTATTGGGACATCCTCACCTAGGATGTGGACACACCAGATGATGAGCTAGTTTCTAAAAGGTAGAGCAAACTGTCAATACTTTCTTAGCCTGTTGGAGCTTTGTACAATATTTAGATATTCAGTGATCCAAAGAGGCAGGAACTGGTGTAGAGCCTGCTTCATAAGAAGTTAAGTCATGCATACTCTCTTGGAAGTCTTGAATGAAAGAAAATCTTTGTTCTCCTATAGTCATAGGCTCTAAATTTTATAGGTTTAAACTACAGGGTCTGTAGTTTCCCAAGCTCATTGAATCTGATATTCCAGTTGCACATTTTGAGAGACACCTTCATCACCCGCAGGATCAGTAGACT